CACTTCTAAATACCGTGAATAATTATATATTACAAATTATTCCGAATTTTGAATGCATTTTAAGAATACTTTTCCCATCAACTGGTCAAAATGCACAACACGGCTGTATGCTGCGTGAAAGACGCGTGCGCACTCTGACGTAAACGAGCGCGGACGAGAAGCGCACAGCGGAACATGTGAGAGACGCTCTGGAGGAAAGCGCACTTTCACTCTCTGACAGCAGATGACGTTAAACTGCAGAAATAATAATAATAATAATAATAATAATAATTCATTTAAATGCAGCCGCTACCCCAGAAACCCTGTAAACAAAGCAGCTGCACTACTTTCTGTTTCTGAATCGTGTTTAAATGATTTAAACAGCCATTCAGATTAGTGTATTTGCTATGATCTTCATCACCGCGCCAAACACTTCAATATTTAGACTTAATAGGCTAAATCTGGACTACAACATGCTCTAGATATTGTTTGAAAGTGTTTTGATTCTTTATTGTTCGGTCACACTTTACATTAGAGCTTCATTAGTTAACATGAGTTAATTCATTAGTTAATATAAACTGCCAATGAAAAATTATTCTGAACATTCATTAATCTTAGGTATTCCAATATTTAATAACACGTTGTTAAAATCGAAAGTTGCAACCGTGTTATTTAATGAGCTAACATGAACTAAGACTTGTATTTTTGTTAACAAAGATTAATAACTTCTGTAGCAAGCGTAGCTATTGCTGATTGTGAATGTTAATGCATTAAAACTAAGGTTAACTAATGAGGTCTTATTGTAAAGTGATACCTATTGGTCTTTATAGTTCTTTTGCACTTTAAACTTTATACATTTTTCTGTATTGCTTTATTGCATTTAAACGTTCAGTTATTTTGGTTATAAGAAAAAAGTTATTAAACCTGTCATACTGTATTATGACAGCACTTTTTTAAACTAAATTTCAATATCGTGATAATACAGTATACCGTGATAAAAGCATTAGCAATTAATCGCAACACGAGAATTTGATACCGGCATATCCCTAACAGGGTCTCATATAATCAACGTCAGAGGTTTTTAAACGGGTTTTGAGAAGAGTTTAAAGAGAAAAAAAAAAAGATTGTGTGTGTATATCATATTTTTGCTCTTGTTGGTTTTGATTGCTTCTACTGTCCTCATTTAATGTAAATATTCACAGTATAAATGGGGTCTTTGCATGCAAAGTTTGCCTTTTAAGTTCTAGGATGGAGGTCCCTTGGATGAGGATATTTGGGGGTCCATAGTATCTAAAACATTTAAAAACACTGTAAAACCCTTGATTCACATGATCACCGGCATCCTGTCAATATTACAATAAAAAGCCTTGACTGGATCTCACATGAGCAAACAACATACCAAGCTCAAACCTATGCCCACGTAAATCTTAAACAATTTAATACGACAGCATTCCTCAAAATAATGCCCAAACCTTGTAATCAGACCTTATGAAGTCACCAAGATCTTAAAGGGCCCATATTGCACACCTTTCTGGAGTTTTATTTGAGGTTTTGACGTCCTTAAGAATATATATTTGCGGTATAAGTCTTGAAACGTATATGGTAGTTAAACAGCCCCTAGACTTCAGTAATCGTGAAAAAAGCCGGGAAATGTCAGTTTTGACAATATGGGACCTTTAAGAAACCCACATGACAATCAAAACCCAATTCACATGATGACCATAGATCCTCAGCTTGATAATCAAACACCTTAACCTGAAGATGACCAACATAATAAACCTCTTAACCTGTCAAACAAACCCAATGTGTGGGTCTCAAATCAGCTACACGGAGCTCAGTTTGACAGATATCCCCATTAACACAACCATGACTTGGAAGTTTATGAGTTAAACTCAACTTTAGACAAAGCTAGTTTCTGAAACGTTCACATGTCTCGGACACCCGTGTGTTTACACTCCAGTCTAACACAGTGTGAATAAACTAGCGTAGCACTCGACCACCGCGGCTTCAGCTGAGCTTCTGGACGGGTTAACGGTTAAAAGGGTTAAAGGGGAGCGGAATGTGAAGGTTAGCTGGTTAGCTGGTTACCGGCGCGTGTGGTGTCGGTCAGGTCGTGTCCGGCGGCGCTCCGCGGGAACTCCTTCAGCTTCCTGCCGCTGAGGGTGAGCGCTCCGGTGGCCGCCGCCTCGTCCAGCGCCCGGTCCAGCGAGCGGCTCCAGGACGCGGCTCCGGGAGCACTGGGTAATCCGTGATGAGCGGCTCCGGCGGGGTGGCCGACGGTAAACAAGGGCACGGCGCTTTCCGCGGAGAGCAACACCGAAGCCGCCATTACACAGCTAACACTCCCGCTGGATCGTCTCGTCACGGGCCCCGCACGAGCCCGGACAGTGCAGTGCGCATGCGCAGCGCGCGGAGGCCAGACAGAGCACCGGCGAGGACAGTGCGTGACCGTCAGTGCGTGCGTGCGTGCGTGGACTGAAACCACTCACTTCTCAAATATTTTTATCTGACTAGTAATAAATAATGTGACAGATCCTTGAAACAATTTGATTCTTTTTTAATGATTCTGTTGATGAGGATTAATTTCCTTACCTCTGCTTATTAATGTTTCCGTTTATGTAATATTACTATTTTTTTCGTAAATCAGTTATAATACTATGTATATATTAGGGCTGCACGATAAATCATCATTTTGGATGCTTTGGGGGGTAGGGAGTTAAGAGATATGTGTGTGTGTGTGTGTGTGAGAGAAAGAGAGTGTGTGTGTGTGTGTGTGTGTGTGTGTGTGAGTGATGGCTATAGTAAAAGTCAGAGCAGTAAAAGCGGTGGTTTACCGTAGATTTGGACACATTGCCTCTCTGAGTGATGTTCTTGCTGTGTTTCTCATTCGCCATGCGAATCCTCTGCTTAGCCACCATCTCTTGCTGCTGTTTTATTAAAGAAAAGAAAGAAAAGTCGGCGCGGAAGAGCTCCAGCTGATGTGTGATCTCGGGCTGATGCAGTGGTTTAGTCTACGTGTGCGTTACTAACTCACTCCGCCCTCCGAGACGTGGACGCTTCGGAACGAAATAAAAACGATTTGCGTCAAAAGACATCAGCGATGGGCGGGGCTTAAGCCGTTTCGCGGATCTAAATTATATTTATTTTATTTATTATTTATTTTATTTTATTATTTCAACGTATTGTTTTCTTGTCTGTGACTGTTAAAGGCAATAAGTGTCATTATTTACAAATAAATTATTGTCCAGGACGCGTAAAACGCAGAGTTGTTGTCACGTGGTGCGTGTTACTTTAATCAGCGCTGGCGACGCTGGACCAATCACTGCTGTTTACGATTACTAGAAAATATTTATATATTTTTTAATTATTCTGTAAAGGTTGCTGGGGCGACTGTTTATTTGTGTGTGTGTGTGTTAGGTGGCAAGCCTTTAAAATAATATATTCCCGCCCCTCATAAAAATGTCATAAAAACAACCCAATTCAAGATAAACGTCATTCCTAATTAATCACAGTATTAGTCAATATATCTATTTGATTGTTGAGAAGAACATGTCAGCTAAATTAATCGTGCGTCATTTTTTGACGTTGACCAAAACTTAAAATTATTAAAAATAGTCAAATAAAAAAATTATTAGTTTTTATTATGCTATTTTTTTCCCCAAAACGCAATGAGTAGGCATGGAATGTCACGGACCAAAACCAATCGAGTCCATAAATCTGTAATACGATTTGTTATTGATACAGAAACTCGAAAGGAACCTGTATTACTTATAAAACTTTAGTTTAAGGGTATTCTATAGTCTTTGGTTTATGCATTATGTTTGACATTCTACGCGCAACCGAAACGATCTATAGTTTTATTTTATTGTATTGAGAACATTATATAGACAAAGATAAAAGCAGTCACAATGTAGAAAAATAAACAAGAAAATAAAAATACGAAACGCTCTATTGTGACGTCTGCGCGGACTCGTCAGTGACGTGGCACGTTGTCGTACTTCCGTTTCAAAATGGCGGCCCCCACACCTCATTTAGCAGGTGAGTTGATGCTCTAAAATGTGTATCTCACGCTCATTTCACCAAGTATTTTCAGAAGCGAAGATATAAACAATCACCGTGGGATTGTAGAGCGTGTTATGAAATAACGCACAAGCGATTTATTCTAAAGTTCTGCAGTCACATTGCCTCTTGAACTCATTCATAAGCCTGTCATGTGCGCACAACATATTTTGTATCGTGATTTCAAGAAATCAAGAGTATTGGTCTAAAGCGTGCCATCGTATGCACACATATGCAAATGTGAAATATTAAACGTTCTTGATAATATTCAGCTAATAAATGTATTTAGTTTTAATACATTTATTTTTAAATCCCTAGAAGCTGTAATATAGTTTTCAAGCTACGTCCATCAAACTCAGCAAATCCTTAGTAGACTTATTATTTCCCATAGCTGACAATTACAGATCCCCCATAGACTCTATCCATACAGTACAACCTTCAGATCTCTTTTCAAACTGCCTGAGTATTAAATCTAACGTTACATGAGATATAAACCAGCATTCAGTCTTTGTCTTTCTTTTTCTGGGTTTAACCTGCTATGTTTCTTTTCAATCAGTCAGAGGATCAGATGGCACGTTTCTGCTGCGTGGACCTCCGAGCTGTCAAGAAAGCTCTGCCTTTCAGAAGTGAGTGATTGCATTTGCAAAGTGTTTACCCTGAAACCTTGTCATTCTTTTTAACAGCATCTGTTTAATGTGTTTCAGAGATGAACGGCAAGGCAGATACATAGCGTTCAGCAGCGACGGGTCCTTGTTTGGTTGGTGCAACGGCTCACAGTACGTATTCAGCATTGTATAGGTAGCAATTCCTGTCATTTTCTAGACACTGAAAGCACTTTAAATTGTGAGAGGGGGCTCTCCTCGTCCAGAATGCCCACCACACACCTGGGGCAAGTTCAAGCTCAAACCGGTGTGCACCGTTTTGCTGCGGTTTCCGGTTTGAACGACATGTTTCCTGGAAACGGTGTGCAAAAAAAACACACTCTCACTCACACACTCCAAAACACACACTCACACACTCCAAAACACACACTCACACACTCCAAAACACACACTCACACACTCCAAAACACACACTCTCACACTCCAAAACACACACTCACACACTCCAAAACACACACTCACACACTCCAAAACACACACTCTCACACTCCAAAACACACGCTCTCACTCACACACTCCAAAACACACGCTCTCACTCACACACTCCAAAACACACACACACACACTCTCACACACCAAAACACACGCTCTCACTCACACACTCCAAAACACACACTCACACACTCCAAAACTCCAAA